TCTGTGGTCACATGAGACGCACAAAGAAACTCCTATTGACGACCAAATCGGAGCTGCGTTGTGCCTAATGTTATGTGGCATTCACCATTACTGAGAATGACGGGCACCATTTATAAATAAACTCTTCAGTGGAAACATGGCTTTTCTAAAATCTCAACAACTTATTTTATGATAACTCTGTACAGAAGGTACTTAATATACGAAACATCTCCCTGAATTCCCATTCAAACACAAAGTTTACCCATGTATTGATGTGAGAGAGAATTGCAACAGCTCAGGAAAAAAAAAAAAATCACATAATAGATGTAAAACTGCTGATTTTTTTTTTTTTTTTCTTGCACCAGGGAAGTACAGGGAGTTCCACAAACTGTACGGAGAGAAGCGCTTCAAGGAAGCCGCAAAGCTGCTGCTCTCGCTCATGACGGCAAAGATTGCTCCCCGAAGCTTCTGGATGACTCTGCTGACCGACGCTCTGCCGCTGCTGGAGCAGAAGGAGGTCAGTCAGCATCCTGGATGTCTGCACACTCTAGATCTATGGTGCAAGGAGTTGCTCCAATAGAGATCTAATATCGGATATTAAGTTTGGTTTTGAGACATTGAAAATAAATAAAAAAATTCCCTTTCTTAGAACTGGAAACACATATTTGGCAACAGCAGTTTTGTTCAGCTAATAAATTCAATTTTATTATTTTCTTAAAGCCACACAGTATTTTTTTTTAAATAAGCCATACATGCATCTCGCTACATTACAACTTTACCTTCATTTGCGTACTACATGAAGCAAACATTTTAACCTCATAGATTTGTATTCCCCATCATCTTGTAGATGAAAGTGTTGACTTCAGGACTGATGTGGATTAGAAAACCTTGATTTCTTCTTTTCAGGTCATCTTCTCTGCTGACCAAACCTACGAGTTGATGTACTGTTTAGAGGAACTGACCTCCTCAATAGACACCGCAGCTGCTGGTGGAGAGAGACCAATGCAGGTACGCTTTTTACTCTGCTTGTATGACAAACAATAGAGACGGCTTTTCGTCATCACGTTTACACAAACGATTGCTTCTCCAGTTAAAAATGCACACACTAGTCCTAAAATGTTTGGAGAGCTTAAAGCTTCAATCTCCAGCTGTTTTAGAGTCTACAAAGTGATGCCTGCTGGATGTTTAAATTAAGCACATCTGTGTTTTCAGGAGGAAGATGTGGAGCAGACCAAAGTGGAGCTCCTGAGACTCTCTCTGGCCAGGAATCTGGCCATGGCTATCGTCAAAGAAGGAACCGTGGAGACGATCTTTAAAACATAGCTCTTCTTTTGCTTTTTTTTGCTTTTTGTATTGTATATAAAAGTCAAGAAATCAAAATGTGATTTTTGATAATAAAATACTTTTCATGCTGGACATCAACATCAGATTTTTTTTTTATTCGTATTTTGTTACTGAACAAATCACATTTATTAGGAATGAGAAGCTAATTAACTTGTAAGAATTTGGATTTCATTTGCCAATGCAATTCCATGGTGGTGGCAGGATCATGCTGTGGGGATGCTTTTCCTAAGCAAGGACAAATAAACAAAAAATGCAAACTATTACTGAGAAAACATTTTGTGTTTTATAAGTTGTTTAAAGGATTCGTATTTACTGCTGACTATTTCAGTTTGTAGTTTTGAAGGAATCAACATGAAGCCATGTGCAGCTATTTTTCTTTCCATGTTTAATTTTCCATGCTTTCAATTTGTGTTTTTTAAATTTGGTCAAAATTGTGTGTATGGTTGGAGTGTATAGAATTGATGAAGTAATCATTTTAAAAAAACTTGGTATAAATAGGAATGATGGGAAACATCCTGGGTTTGTGGAACAGCGACGCCTGTCCAGTTAGAGTTTTAGTTTGCTATAACTAGATCATCATTCACCTTGAAACAATCTTTAAAACCAAACCAGCCCTTTTAATAGAAGTACAACAGTTGTAAGAATAAAGAAGTTAAATAAATGAAAAAAAGATGGCAGCTTTAAAAGGATTAAACTGATAAGTGACATTACAGTTATCAAAGAAAAGTAGGACCAAGAAGAAATATATTTGAATTATGCTTTGGTTACAAAGAATTCAATAGTGCATGGTTTAATTTGGGGAACCATATTAGAAGAAACAATGGAGCGAGTTTTCTATTTCAAACCAAATACAGTGCCAATAGAAGGAAGGGCAGAAAGATACAACAGATCATATGCAATCTTAATAATTAAAAAAGTTCAGTTTTATTGAGATACTCGAAATACATCACTAAATTAACAAAGATATTTACTTTTTAAAAGTTTTTAGTGGCATGTTAGTATTAATCTCCTCACTCGAGTCCACTTGGTGGCGGTAATGGGCTAAAATATCACCAACTAACTACATGAAAGAAGAAGAAGAAGAAGAAGAAGACGACGACAGTCACATTTTCAAGATGGCTGCCTCCATCTCAGGATTACTAAAACCTTGGACACCGAGGTAAATCTAACTTTTTGGACGTCGAAAGGTCTTATAAGCAAATGCTGTGTTTTTGTTTTTGATTTAAATCTGGGCTCTGTTGTAGCTAACGCTTTTGTTAAACCAGGAGCAGTTTTTCGGTATTAAAGCGTTACTTACGCCTTACACAATTTCTGTGCATAGTTCAAATCCTGTATTTGCAATTTATGGAAAACCATGGAACGTATGGAATATTAATTGAATTGAAAAGAGCTGCAAATAGATTTAATAGGACTTATTGAATTTGTTGGGAGCATTGACAGATGCTGCTAGGAGGAAAGATCTATAAGAAATTTAATGTCTTATTTGTTTGAAATGCTTTGTATAGACAGGTTTAGTTTATTCAACAAGTTTTGTTAAAATATAATTTTTTTTTACTATAAATAGGGCCTTCTCTTACAGGGATGGGAGGAATAAATTTCAACCCGTTATTACCCAGTATTAAAACTAATTGTAATGTGTGGAAAAAAAAAATACTTGCATCAAGCCAAATCGACAATACATATTTTTTCGGTTTTTGTCCATCTTGCGATCATTTAAACACCACAATAACAGTGCTTCCTCGTTTTCGTCGTGGGCAGAGTGCTCTTGGTGAGATGGAGCAGGTACAACCCTTACTATCTGGAGCCGGAGGTCAGGAAGGAGGCCTACAGCCGCCCGGAGAGCGAGCTGAGTGCCGAGGAGAAGGAGGAGCGGGAGCTGAAAAAGCTCCGACCCATCAAAGCTGCTACCAATTCAACGACGAGCTCCCTTTTCAACGACCCCGTCGTCAGGTGATTTTACAGCCTCCGGAACAAAACCGAAGCTGCGCTTAGCGTTCATGTCAACCAATCGTTTCTCTGTCCGCTTCTCAGTAAATTCATCAACATGATGATGAAACACGGAGAGAAGACTTTGGCCAGAGAGATTATGATGCAGGTAAATGAAACGCTTTTCAAAGTAACCTCTTGTTGGTTCCCAGGCAACACACCTCTTTTTTTTTTTTCTCCTTTTCTCAGACGCTGGAAAATATAAAGAGGAAGCAGGTGGAGAAATACCACAAAGCTACAGATGGGCAAAAGGAAGGGATTGAATGTAATCCCTACGCCGTTTTTCACCAGGCCCTGGAAAACTGCAAGCCTGTCGTTGCGCTGGCCAGCATTCAGAAAGGTGGAAAATACTATCAGGTCAGTGAGAAGGCAAAAATAAAGCTCTTTTGTTGATAATAACAGGATTCCTGTGGAAAAGCTTAGAATTTGAGTTCACTACTTTCCTGATTTGAAATTAGAACAAGGAAAAAAAAACAACGCATTTCCAAGGTTTGTCTAAATAGTTTCCTCCCCTCTCTCTTCCTTATGTCCATCTATCCATACTTTTGTGTCCTCCTACATTTCCTTCTTTTTAGCTTATTTTATTTAACTTCGATATTTTAATTTTAATATGAGCATAAAGGCATAATTGTGTAGGAACCCAACGATGAGAGCAGAACCCCCTCCCCTATAGAACATCTGAAACAGTGTTGCATCTCTTGTTTTTTTGAGGTTTAATCCTCTCTCATCTCAATCCCGTCTAGGTGCCCATCCCGGTTACGGGCAACCGCCAGCGCTTCCTGGCGATGAAGTGGATGATCACCGAGTGCAGGGACAACAAACACAGGCGCACGCACATGTACGAAAAGCTCTCCCAGGAGCTGCTCGCCGCCTTCGCAAACGAGGGCAACGTCATCAGGAAGAAGCACGAGCTGCACAAGATGGCCGAGGCCAACAGAGCCTACGCCCACTACCGCTGGTGGTAGACGGAGAGCTGCGCTGGACTCTCAACATATGCGTTGAAGATTGACAAACTCCTGTTGTAAATAGTGAATATTTGTCGAGATGGGACTGTGTCCAGGAGACCGGGGAACGACTCGCCGATGGGTTTTTGTAGAAAAGGAAACCGAATCGTGAGTCAAACCTCCGCTGAACTGTGTGACAACAAATGCGACCGAAGTGAGAAAACAGTTCAAGATTTATTTAAAACAAACACGTTTAATATGCAACACAACGAGTAGAAAAACAGAACAGAGAAATGTAAAAGTATTGCCACTTTGTAGGAAAAATACCAAAATAAACTGCTGTCAGGTTCTGTGGCCTGTCCTGTGTGTTTAAATGATTTTCCACGTGTTGTGAACATTCAGGCTGGCTTTTACCAAATGCACCAGGAATCTCTAAAGTTTAATACAAAAACAAATCAGGTTATTGTGACCCTGAAGCTAGTTAAGCTAGAGTTGTTTAACCTCTGCTAGAAAATGTAGGTTCAGAGCTACGGATCGAACTCTTCTCGTTTTCAACCATAAAATAAATCCACATTGGTCAAAACCCGCTGAATTTGGTCAAATATTACAAAAATTTGCCATCATTTTTTTTATTTTATTTTTTAGCTTATTCAGCTTTAAAGCCATATTCTGCTGGTAAAACAACCTCCTGATGCGTGGATCAAAAGAGGCACTAATTTCCAAAGATCCGGAGGTGAACCTTAAGCATTTTTGTTCTCTAAACACACCCCAAAACTATATTTCAACTGATCCCCTTTGTTTTGAGCTCAACAGACTGAGATAAAAGTAACAGGTGTCTAATTTGAAACATTGAATTGAAATATTCACTTTCTGTTTAGATCGAAACTACATCTGCAGCAACGTTTCTTCCTACAAAGCCAATATTCTGGCAATGAACTCCAGAATTTAAGCTAAATTGATGGAAGTTTTTAAGGGAAATAGTTCTAAGCAACAAGAAAGAGATCATCAGGTCAAATGTGGAAATCGGTATTGGCCTGTAAAAGCCTGATTGGTTCGTCTCTGATTTAAAGGGATGCCACTTCCTACGATTTAAGGAGAAAAGCCTCAGATGTCAGGAAAATCTCAATGCTCAGAGAATGTTGGCACGACTTCAACACAAAGCTAACCCTTTGATCCACATTAAAAGCTGTCTTTTTTATATATATATATGTGTGTGTGTGTGTATATATAAAAAAGTTTTAAAGTGAGGGATTTGACATTTTGGTCTTCCAACTGAAGCTGTGACAAGAAATAAAAATCCCTGAAGAAAGACGGCGCTTCAAGTGACAAACTGGCCTCGCATCAAACGGTAACAAGAATCCTGCTGCTTAACAGCAACCCAAGTCTTTCAGAAACTCCTAAACTTCACACAGGAAAATGTCTTAACGCTCCCTGCAAGTATTCCAACGCAATACCAATAATAGCATAAAATTAAATCAGTCCGACTCTGACTGGAATGTCTTGTTTTTAACTCCAAAAATTTGGTAAACTGTTCCTACAAAACAGGAATGCAAAAAAAGATTTTTTTTTTTTTAAATGTTAGAACTTCTTGGTTTTGAATCAAAGTGTGTCTCAATGTGGCAGAAACTTTAAGAACTTAAAAACCTCAAACTATTGCACATTCCACATCCGTCACATTCCAAGCCTTGATCAAACGCAGGAAATAACGCAGGAAAAAAAAAAATCCTCATCCCCCCCCCCTGCGTCTCTGATCACCGTAGAAAATGTCGCTTTCTACCGTGAAGCTGCTGGTGTGGCAATCAGTGGCGACCAAAGGAAAGCGTCCAAGGCGCGCGAGTCGCCCGACTCAGTCGGCGATTTCGCTGTAGTAATACTTGTGGGCGGTGCTGCTGAGCATCCAGCCGCCGGCCCTGAACTCCAGGACCTCCAGCAGCAGGAGGCGAGCCATGGAGGTCAGGCCCTCCTGCAGGAGAAAGCCGTCCCTCAGCAGGAAGAAGAGCTCGTCCATCCGCTGGCTGTTCACCTTCTCCAGCTGCTCCCCGATGCGATGCAGCTGCAGCACCAGGCAGTCCACCTGCAGCGGAGAGGAAGAAGACGATCCCCCCCAAGCCCCCCCATCAATTGCATAAAACGAGGAAGGAGCTTTGCTTGATCTTGCAGCCTAAAGAAATTGGGAGACTCTGGGGATGGTGAGGAACTACATCTTCTAGAACATAAAGAGAATATTTCTACTCTGCCCAGACTCGTTTACGTTTAAACATCCGATGGTGACCTCACCTCTTCCTCGTTCAGCAGAGCGTCTGGTTGGGCCAGCCTCATTAGACAGTCGTACACAGGCAGGACCAGGGCCACCATTGGCATGTTGTTCACCTGAAACAGTCAAGCAATATATTACTAAGCATATCAATGTGGTCCTTATGAAGGACGTTACATATGTCAGGTTCAATGTAAAGTTTCACTGGACAACGCCTCCGTAACGCAGTGGAACGTTTAACACAAGCATCTTTGATCTGGGATATTTTGGGAAATTTCTCTTAAAATATCACAGTAAAAAGTACAAAATGTCCACTGCTCATACCTTGAGGTAGTCAAAGATGTTGCAGATGAACGTGACGTAGCAAACCCAGGCCTGCAGCGAGCGTTTCCTTGTCTCCTCGCGCTCCTTGAACTCCTGCTGCAGGCGGTTCAGCAGGTGCCTCCGAAACACGGTTCCATTGTTTTGCTTGGCCTCAGCCTTAGATTAAGGAATTAAGTTTTTGACAGAGCAACAAATGTGTCCGTAATTTTAAAAGTCTAAGGCAAATCATGCAGTGTTTTTACACTTAATTACACATATTCTGGAAAGGAACAAAATGTGAAATAAACCAGAGAGCCGTCGGTTCTGACCTGCACAATCGTGTAGCAAATACGGCCGGCCTCTTTGCTGAACAGGGGGTCCTTTAGCGACTGGTCCACGAGGATGTTGGAGACCTTCTCCAGGTTCACAGAACTTGGATCTGAAAGAAAGAAGAGAGCTTTTAGAATATGCATGCAGAAGTCAAGGAGTAATTTATGACAACTGATTTTTTTTGTGTCCACATGGATGTAGATATTTTTCCAATGTTTTATAATCACACAGTGAGGCAATTACTGACCTTTCAAGGCTGTTTTTAGCAGTTTCTGTGTATCCACATCAAATGACTGGATCCTATAGTCCTCGCTGCAGTTTTCCATTATAAATGGTAAAAGTACACGATTACACCAGGGACCTCTCACTCTGTAAAGATCAGACGGGGTCACTGCAACAGGTCTTTGCCAGAGCACAATGCGACTCTTTGAAAGACAGAGAAGCCGGGACAACAAAACACTAAATCCTGTGGAGTCATCAAACTGGCTGCTCCACTCAGCTCATTCACTGCGGGATAGAAAGGGTTTAGGCTACATCTGGTCAGCTGAGACATGTGTGCAGAAGTCATGTTTCAGCAAGGAAACATGTCAAAAGTCTTTATTTTCGAAAAGCTAGCCAAAAACCTGGTATAAAACGACGTTATCTGAGCTGCGACGTCCAAAGTTATAAGTTAGCGCAAGGTATTGTTTTGCATGATGAGCAGACTTTTCTAAAATGAATAAAAATGGCTGTTTTCTAATGGATGTACACTTTGATAACGTTAGTATATGCTTTCGATGAGCTGAGCCTTGCTAACATTAAGTAAGGAAATCAGATTCAAATCTCAGTGAAACCACCACAAAGTATTCAAACGCAAAAATCTGAACTCTATCGAGATGCTACATGAATTTACTGATTAGCTTCACATTGCAGAGTTTGAGATAAAATGTACCTATTTAACGCATTTAGACTGATCTTACCACCTGAATCAAGGAGCGAAGACTGCCATCTACACAGCTCTTCGAAGATCAGCTAGTACCTCCAAGATGAGTCCCTTCTTTCCGTAGACATAAACGAGTTCGCGTGCATCGACTTCCGGAAGAACAACACGTTAATGAGGCGCCATCTGGTGAGACATTATTATTATTATTATTATTATTATTATTATTATTATTATTATTATTATTAATAAACAATATAAAAAACATAGCTAAAAAGAACTTGTCAAATAACGAAAGAAATAAGTAAAACTGAAGTAATTCAAATTCAAAAATCAAAACTCAAAAATGTATTTGCGAAAAAATGTTTTATTCAAACTGAAATAAATTTTAGTTTTATTTATTTTTATTTAATAAATGAATTGTTTTTCAAGACTGGTACCTGTAAAATAAACATGAATATGTAATTAATAATAATAATAATAATAATAATAATAATAATAATAATAATAATAATAATAATAATAATAATAATAATAATAGGTTGTTTGTTACATCTGGAAACCTGAAATGCAGAGATGGCAGTTTGTTTCATTAAGAGGCGAAGATCATCTTGTCGTTATATTTCAGCTTTGAAATACGGCGCATGCGCTGTTTTACTAAGCGGAAGTGTCATTAATAGTTTGTAGTAACCGAATGCAGCTGTTGTATCTTTCTTTTTGAATTTGTGGTGCTGAGTGTCTGCTGTTACATTAATGAAGGATTTCCAGTGTAAGGTAAAATCTGTCCGCCTCTCTTTATGAAACCTGAACAGCTGCTGTGTTGTTAGCCTAACTAAGCTCGACCCAAGTTTCCCCTCTTTGTCCTCCACATGTTGTCGTTGATGATTTTTATATTGTAAAAAATTTAATTGAGTTTGTTACTATTAATTTATTGCACAACAAAATTATGTCAGGTTGTAGATTGAACAAAACATTTTTTTTCCTCTCCCAAGTGTTGATATAGAGTGCTGTATAGACATGGTGGGATATGATCCCAGGGCTAATCATGGATCTCCTACCCCAGAGGAGGCAGCCCTGGCTGGGTCAGCTGGTGGAATGGTTACCAGAGCACTTATCAGTCCTTTTGATGTTATTAAAATCCGTTTTCAGGTAATAATTTTAATCTACTTCTTGTTTGTGTAATATGACTGCTGCACCAGGTGGTGGCATAGGAGGGATGTTAAAGATGCAACCAGTTGAAATTTCGATTAAATCATAATAAAGCTGCATTCACATGGGATTGTGATCATGATGAGTCTATTGCTTTTCTTCCACAATGAAATTACGTCAAGGATCTAAAATATCTGCATCATCATCGTCATTTAATTTTGTTTGAGAAAATCTAATCATGTAGTGTTCATCACATGCTGATCAGCATCTTCTGTCCCCTCAGCTGCAGATCGAGCGTGTGTCTTCACAAAGACGTGAAGGAAAATATTGGGGAATATTTCAGGCATCCCGAAGTATTTACTCAGAGGAGGGTCTCACTGCCTTCTGGAAAGGTCACATTCCAGCGCAGCTCCTCTCTATCTGCTTTGGGGCCGTCCAGGTAAATATTAGAAATGTGGAACTGTGTGTCAACACTACTGAAATAAACATTTTCCTGGACAAAAAAAATATTAACTGGTTGTGCGTTTGTCCACTTGCAGTTTGTCACTTTTGAGTTTCTGACCAAGATGGTTCACAAGTCGACGCCGTACGACAGCCGGACTCCAGGAGTTCATTTTGTCTGTGGCGGCTTGGCAGCCTGCTCTGCTACGGTGGCCTGCCAGCCTCTGGACACGCTGAGGACACGCTTCGCAGCTCAGGGAGAACCCAAGGTAGAACATTACTCTACTTTTTACTTTGATTTAATCCGCGTGTCTTTGAGATGAGTAGTTATGTAAATGCATGATATCAATGGCAAAAGTTGGAGTCACACTCCTTTAGTTAAAAAAATACTAAGTGTCATACTAAAATAACATATGTTCCTTAACACATCTGTGGCTGTCAGAGTGTCATATTATTAGCCAGCTTCTTCCCAGATTTACCACTCGGTTGCTTGCCCTCACATAGTGGAGTTAATTACTGACTGCAGGTTTCCCAGGTCTTGACTCCTCCACCACCATACTTGACAGTTGTTCCAAACTGTTTGTGGAGCTATGTTTTGGTTTTGTTAAATATTGCAATATATATTGAAATCAGGAATGGACATATTAGTAGCAAAAAGTACATTAAGTTTTTTTAAATGTGACAGTTTGCCAATTTTCAGTCATATGAAAACTGAATATTTCATTGTATACTTTGTCTTTTGTGCCTGTGCATTTGTTTCATTTTCTTATAGCAAAAAATGGGGGGGGGGAGGATTGGCTTCTTTTTACTAATATAGAAGAGCAGAAGAAGCTACTTTAAGCTCTTTTTTTTACTAGATTATCCTTTATCTATTTTACTCATCTCCAGATTACCATCTGGACAAAAAACTAAACTGGTACAAAAAGGAAAGAGGTAAAAGTTTAATAATAATGTTTATTCATCAGTTAGCTTCTCCTTTGTTATTAAGCGTGTGCTCATTTTAGCTTATTTTGCTCAGGTGTTTAGGAAATTCGAACTAGACGTTGCATTGGAAGACTACAATTCAAATTCCTTTCCTTTCTCCTCAGGTTTACAGTAACTTGCGGTATGCCGTGTCCACGATGTGGCGCTCTGAGGGACCGGTGGCGTTTTACCGCGGCCTGTCTCCTACCCTGGTTGCAGTGTTTCCTTATGCTGGACTGCAGTTCTTCTTCTACAATGTCTTTAAGCAGCTTTTGGCTCCTCCATCTAAATCCAAAGACTCAGGAGGTCAGTGAAGACACGGTTTTGTCTTGGTAGAAAAACCACTAAGATTTTAGATCAATAAAAGTTTTTAAGTGCTGAGGAAATTTTTGAAAAGAAAAAAAAAAAGTCTTTCTGTATTGAAATAAACATTCTTATCATACAGCTAGCTCACTGTAACATTTAGTATTTCAGATTTTTTTCAGTGATTAACAAAATCTCTCAATGAATTTATTGAGTAACAAATTATATGTGATTTTCTACTTGACTGAGATGAACAGGTACTGATAGGCAAAATAGGGAACTGTAAGTGAGTGTAGTAACTGCTTACCTTTGCTGTATTTTGATGACCTCCTCAAATTTAATCAAACTACATTTGAATTTTTTTTTTTCTTCAGGTCATTTCTGAATCTTATTTTTCTGTATAATTTCTAAGGTTTGGCATCAAAATCACAACCTGTGTGTCCTTTCATATAATCATTACAAAGCAACCCCTTTAGTCCTTTCAGAAACCAATGTCAGACTCTGCCGAGCCATGTCATTTATAGCTTTTTAGTTCTGCACACGCATTTTTGTGTGTCCCTCCTTTTACAGGAAACGTGAGAAGCCTGATCTGTGGCAGTGGGGCGGGAATGATCAGTAAAACCCTCACATACCCCTTCGATTTGTTCAAAAAGAGGCTGCAGGTGGCGGGCTTTGAGAAAGCCCGCGCTCACTTTGGACAGGTAGGATCCTGATGCTGAACCACAACGTCGAGGCAAATGACCTTCACCTCATGTGTCGGCGTTGTCGCCTGTTTCTGCCATGCAGGTGCGGACCTACACAAGCCTGATAGACTGCGCGGTTCAAATAGTCGAAGAGGAAGGGATCCGAGGCTGCTTTAAAGGCCTCTCTCCCAGCCTTCTGAAGGCCGCGCTGTCCACAGGCTTCACCTTCTTCTGGTATGAGTTCTTCCTCAACGTCCTGTGCAACATTAGGGAAAAGCGGGAAGGCCAAATGGAGAGATGACGCATAATGAGAAAAACGACATAGGAAATGAGGCAATCACGCACATTATAAACGCACTAATGCCTTGTTGCACTGAACACGTCACTCAGCCGGGAAACTGAGCGGGTTTATTTGGGTTTCTATGGTGTTTACAAATGTTAAGCAAGTGGATAAATGACTATATGAAATGATATGTTGCTGTATCATTTACTTTTATTTTGTAAGCATTATATTTTTGTCGAGGAATTTGTATCTTGCTTGACTCTTGCGCACAACAATGTCAAGTTTGTTTCAGTGTTAAATGATCAAATTCTATTGATAATCGATTGTCATCTGGTGGCGACAAAACAGTTTTCAAGCCATATCAGAGACAAAGCAGCTGAAACCTCTCTGGGTCCACTGGGTCGACTAATCAAATCAGAAGAAGTTGGTCGTGAATGTCATGGTGTCACGACCATCACTTTTCCTGAAAATAATTCAATTACTGACCAAAGACTAGGTAGAAAGTTAAAAGTCGTTTTTTCACACATGCTGACCAGCAATTGGTCATTCTGCAGGGACCCATCTTGTCCAGAATGGACAGCAGAAGGAAATGTGTGTCAAAAAATGTGTTGATTGGCCAAACAGTGAGCACCGTTCATCAGACCCAGGGGACTGGCTGCTACACGCATCAGTGTGCATCTTCAGCCATTGATCAGGTTTGACGGTATGTACGAGGGTAATTAATCTTCCTCAGCAATTATCCGGCATCTCAGACGTCTCTCACACCAGGCAACTGCAAAATGTTGTCTTATGTAAACCTAAAATATGACTCGGTCCCGATCAAATGGGGACTTCAGTGTGTGCAAGGCATTTTCTGTCTGGTGACCCTCACTTGCCACTTTCAGTAATGCCTCCACTCATCCACTTTGATGGCCATGTTGGCTTTCTGGTCCCAATATATGTTTGAACTTTGCCACCGTCTCCATGCTGGCTGTCCAAATGCATTCAGTGCTTGTTATCAGCCTCAGATTCAGCTGACAATACGGCGACGAACACATGTTTGCAAAGCTTCTTGTAAAGATGTGTAAAAATGCATGTTTTTAATTGCTGTAGCTTTGACCTCTCCTCTTTGCACCATTGTTCTTCTGGGTCCCCTGTTATGCTCTCTTCAGTTCATACACAGGTTATCTGTAGGAGTTATGTTGGAGGATCACATGTGCAACTTTTCAGCTGACGATCAACATATACGTGTTGATTTATCAATCTGACCTCTCAAGTCATTTATGGCACAATTTTTCTTGGTTTGTTCCTAGAGAGGGCAAAAAATTTAGACTGAAAAAAATCATGGTCCTTGAACAGACCAAGAGAATAGCTGGTCCTTTGCCGTCTTCAGTCTCATCATATTTATGATTCAGGAAATTTAGGTTATTGAGAACTAATGAGAAATTCTCATTAATTAAGAGAATGATTTCTTAACATAGGATTTTCCTCTCCACCAAGTAAATGCTGCCGCTCTGCTTGCTTCTCAGACTCTGGTCCTACTTCTTCTGTCTTTTGTTTTGTGTCGCATCGCTCTGTCACACTTGTTCTGGATCCTGTTTCACCCCTTTTCCATCTTGTGGGTGTTTCTGTTCTCTGCTCAAAATGGATCAGAGAACAGAATGGATCTTCTGCACTCGAAGATGACAGATTGAAAGTACACGAGAACAAAGTTAAAGGGATTTATCTAATGTGGTGGATTAGTCTTGGTGGGTAAACATCTTGGTGAAAGTTTAAACTGAACTTTGCGCATTTTCTGCTCAGTTTTACGGCTGTTACCTTGTATATTCTTGGACACGTGATACTTATTTTGATATTCACTTTATTTAGTGGGAAAAACCAAATGGAACCTTAAAGTTTATAACTTGTTTAAATGTCTCACTTTGAGTTAAACTTACTGACCTTTGCTGCTTTGTTAATGCTTGTTTCATGTGTTTATATGGTCTTCACTTCTTTGTCAATAAAATGTACAACCACACTGCTAAAACTGAGTTATTTTTGGTCTGTTGAAGAGAAACGTTATTTTAACAAGGGTTTCTATTCAAACAAACTAAACCTAAACCACTTGTACATGGCAAAGATTAAAATTTAATATAGAAATGTTTAATTTTTCTTCTCCTGCACAATTACTTTCCACTGATCTTATATAATCTTGATAAAGTTTATCACTGTAATGCTCAAAATATGAAAGATTTGAAGGACACAAACACATTTGCTCTAAGGCATTTAATCGCATTAATAAAGACTCCACAGTTATGACTCTAGTAGCTTCAGATGTGATTTAATTTGACTTACTGCATACAAAACTTTACTTGAAAATGAACAAAATGAATATAGCAGCTGAAGACCACATGATCACTCGATAAAAACCTTGGGTAAAACACGTCAAGTATGACAGCAAAAAGACATAACGATTAATTGACAAATATTTTAAAAGCAGCTTAATGTCAAGTTATACCACCAGGAGACAAAAATATGGCAGAGATAATATAAACACATACGTAATGTACACAACAGAAATTATAGCAGCTTCATCACTGGAGTTTAAATCTTTTTAAGTGCGTGCATTGTGTTGATTAAATCATGTTCATGTCGTATATACAAGATTACCCGGTCGCTGTACACTTGAGTGTAAAACTCTTTATATTTAGCAGTCACATTATGCAACACGATCCGTCAAAACCTCTTTCACTACATCAATACAAAGAATGAACAACGACCTCCGGCTAACAAAGATCCAGATGTTTGAAGGTGAAAAAGCAAAAAATCGAATTTTGTGCTGAATGAAACTGTAAATCGAGACACCCTGAGCTTGGATGTCTGGCATGGATGTTCTGCTAAAACCAAGAAATGACTGAGATTCTTTGTCGTGTTCTTTGCTGAACAAACTTTGCAGCTTTTTGCACCTCAGAGGCTTTGGGAGAGGGCAGACTGTCTACCTGTAAAGGCAGTCTGGGAGCTGCTGACTTTTCTGTAACACCAGGAACACTACTGAGGTCGAGGATGACCAGAACTGTGAAAAGCCTCCGTCACTTAAACTGGCCAGGAGCAAGAGGGAAGTGGGGGGGCCATGTTGGATGCGCAAAGCAAGCATCCTATACTGATCCGCAGGTCGAGAACAAGGCTCGGTTCTCATTCGGGTTGTGGACTGGAGTTCCAGGAGAAAAAACTTGGCAGCTTGAAGAGTGAATCCCTGCGGCCTGGATCGGGCAGGGTCAAGGTCTCTGGAGCGGACTTTTTTCTGGGTCGCTCCTTGGGCACAGACAGGAAGTCCGGAGCTTCGGTGGAAAGGGGAGTGGACGGGGCGCTGTTGGGGCCGCTGCGGGTGGTGGACGCCAGAGGGGTCTCTGAGATGGAGATGGCTGGAGGAAAGGTCCCAATTTTCAGATTAGTAGCTTCCTGTGTGGCTCGCTCATACTCCCTCACCTCCTCCATGGTCATGTCTGATGGAACAGAGAAATTAACACAAACTGTGTGACAACGTCCACCCAAATCCAGGCCCAGAGCAAACTATGTAATATGACACCCTGAAAGCTTTAAATACAGAAAAAGGCCTGGGATTTTGTCATTTAAACGTCTGTAGTCTGGTTGGCAAAATTGACATTGTGCGTATTTGGGTACTTTGTTTTAAGTGAAACTTTTTCCAACAACGATGCAATGGTAGACAGGTATAACCTATTTAGAAAAAAAAAAAGACTACTTTTCCTGTTTTGAACAGGTTGGTTTACTATACATAATCTAGATACTTTTTCTAGATTCCAATAAATCTAATTTGTCTAATCTCTAATCATACATTTATGGGCCCAAAAACAATGTTGACTGTCCCATCCAGACACTTTTATCATTTTTGGGCGCGCTGTGGTTATGTGACGTCAAAAATATAAAGTTGCATGTCATTAACAGACGTGCAGTAATAGATACTATACTCTATAATATTAGCTAAGGAGATGATGTAAAAATTGTACAAAAATTGAACTCCGTTAAAAGTGTGAGATTACACAATGAAATTAATAAATAAATTGAAGAAATGACACTCTGGAGGGTTTTAAAAGTTTTTTTCAAGGATCGGCCGTCTCAACCTTTTCAAACTGCCAACGCTCTGGCATTGAGATATTAATTTATTTAAAAGCACAGATGAGGTCAAGTTGACACAGACAAATGAAAACCTTTCAACTTTATGACTCATTTAGATGGCTGAAAAGAAAAAGCTGCTGGAATGCAAAAGACCTTCAGAAAAAGGCTTTAGCTTATGAAATAAGGGCAAACTGCAAAATCAGCACAAAAATTGTCTCTGTGGAACAAGAAGACGAAACTGGGGTACAATTGTCCTGTCAGGATCAGTTTTTCTCAGGTTAATTGGCAACAATGAGAAAATGGTGAATGTAAAAAAGGTGTAAAATTTTATTTCGAGAAGGTTGTCTTTTTCCTCAAACTTCTATATTATTTCAGTCATTTCATTTGGTTGCAGCAGAGCAGGAGATGGAAAGACCAGCCGTTATATTAGAGAAAGAAGACAAAATTACAAAAGATGTACAAGTATTAGGTTGTACTATGGCCTCGTTGCTGTACAAACTTCAACTTTATTAAAAAAAAACAATCTTGAACAGAGGTATTAGTGCAACACAGGCCAAAGACCTCATATAGCTATGATTATAAAAACCCTACAAACTCTAGCATGTGTTAAACTTTAATACTTTAATAAGGAAACATGTCCTGTTAAGTTTTTATCTGAAATCTTTTACAGATCTGGTGAAAGTTGCTTTGTAGGATAAACACTTTGACCAGAGTAGCTAAAATCATTGGATGGCACAGAAGGGTCACGGTTTAATTGTAAACTCTCCATTGTCTTAGAGTGAAATCAAAAACACACTAGCTGAAGGATGCAAAAAGACTCCAACTGGGTAAATAACTGGGTATTTATAGTCCCATTAGCTCTAAAGTCTCATTCTTTTTAATTTCCTTCACATTTTTTATAGCAGTTTGTCCAAAAGTCAGTGTTTTTAATCAAGATTTTAAGTGATGGACAAACACAAGGAGCCCAGGGGTCCCATGGTAACATTGGAGGAGCTGCAGATATCCACAGCTCAGGTGGGAGAATCCGTTGACACAACAGTGAAAAGTTCTGCAATCTAATAAGATGATCTCCATGGAAGTGTTGGAAAAACAGATATGACCCCTGAAGCCCTAAGAAATCCCATATGCCGTTTAGGGGAAACGGCAAACCTTGGGAAGAAGGTTCCCTGGTCAAATGGGACCAAAATGCAGCCTTTTGATACATGGATGCAATCTTTCCCATCCAGTCTTGGTGGGAAAGACTGAGCCATACCCATGATGAAGCATGGTGCTGGCAGCATCATTCTGAGGGGAAGGTTTTTCAGCAGGGATGGAAGAGTTGATCACAGTTGTTTGAAAGACATGTAAAGCTAAACACAGGGAAATGCTGGACAAAAAACCTGCTAGAGGCTTCAAAAGACTAAAGATTTGGGCGTTGGACGACAATCAAAGCTTTCTGATTATTTACATGAAAGCATTTTCGAGTGTTAGAAAATCTCAGCTTGAGCAAAGGATAAACCAGTTTAGTCTCCGATAAATCCTGAAAACAGATGCTTACTAAGTAATCTGACTGAGCTTAAGCTGTTTTGCTAAGAAGAATTAGAAAATGTGACAATTTCACCACCAATTCCAAACGGCATGAATACCTTTGCAAAACATATTTTACACAGTCAGTCCAAAGTTTTATCATTGTTCTTATCAAATGAAGTTTGTTAGTTTGATTGAAATAATAATAATAAAAACATTAAAAACTTGGCTTCATTATAAATTCCAAAATGCTCGACTCCAAGACAAAAGCTAATCGGAGCATTCTTGCTTTTATTTGTGCCATCTGTAACAAACTTACCAATCCACTCATCCACCCACGCAAAGGCCTGCCTGTGTCCCAGAAGCAGGACGTCTCGTATCACCTGAGGAAAGTTAGAAAACAAAACGGTGAAATGGCAGCCGGAGCCGAGGGGGAGGCAGTCCAAGGTGAGCGGATGTGAATCATATTAACTTAACCCTGAAGGTGAGAGTCTGAAAACATGTTGAAGTTGCTAAATGCTTCTTTTCCTCCACAGGAGTAAATGATTAATATGAGTCACTCTGAGCGCTGCCCTGTGAGTAATGGCCCTGACCGTATGTACCTATGCGTGTCAAAGGGAGCCTCAGGCAAGGGCCAAATAGGAAGCAGGCTGACCCAAGGACAAATGCTGCTAAGAGCTGAGAGAAATGCCTCTGGGAAATAGCAGATATTAGGATTAAATGTTGTTGGGAGGTCTGGCAGTGTGGGGTGACCAGGGCAGACACTGAAATAGAGTGATAAGAAAACGGCAGATTTTAACTACCATGTGTTATATGTTTCCACAATAGAAAATTGAAGGTCTCGGGCACTGATAGTGATCTGCGAGGTGCAAAAAGTCTGAAAAAAAAAAAATGAAGTGAGGTTGCAAAAAAAAACAAACAACAAAATCCAATACAGGTCGTTTTTCACAATGACCTTGTGCACAAACTGCTCCACGCGTGTCTGCAGTCCCCACACTTCAAACCTAACTGTGACCAGTTTGTACGAGCACATGATGGGGTCCTGGGTGTCGATCCATCCTTCCTGCAGGCTGCCCCTGTCTGTCTTCTTTGACTTAAACTGTCGAAGGTCCTGCAAAAAGAACGAAGAGAAAAATTGATGTAGAGAAAAATGAACCCTTCTCAAGCAATTGTCATATTTCTCAAAAGATGTACCACAAGTAGCCAAATTGGTGGGCCATGTTATTTGTCGGTGTTTATCTACTTCGCGGACTCCCTCCCCCCCCTACAGGACACGAACACCTGCATTCAGTACAGGAATCATATAGAGAACAGCCAAGATTCACAGACGGAGTCCTTCATCACAAGCTGTATGCACATTAATCACTCCCCCCCGTGGACTAATTATGCTGTGGCGCTCGTTTGTCTTGAGTGTTTTGACTGAGACAGACTGTGTGCGGGTGGGAGACAAAACTTTTTGTCCCTGCAGGGAGTTCCATAGTAGAGGAGGTGGATGAAGCCTGTTGCATTTCTCTTTGCATAAAATGTGTCATCAGATTCACTGAAGAAAGACTGAAGAAAGTTAAGGGAAAATAGAAAATGACAGTAAATGCTTGGTCTATATGAAAAAACAAAAAACAAACAAAAAGACAAAAAACAAAAAACAAAAAAAAAACGGGGGAGAATTAGGTGCAAGATCCATTTTATAGCACAATCATGTTATCAAATATGACTTAAAATGAATTTCACTTCATAATTTAACACTTTAAAATTGGGTTTGTGTCTCTTTAAGAAAGTACTGCTCTTTCCAAGACTTTTGGGAACTCATCACATCAACATTGCTCTTCTATTAACACCTCTAACAATGTTTTTACCAGCGCAGCACTGAGAAGTATTTGTATAAAGAGCTCAGCAGCTCCACCAGATGTCTGCAAATTGCCGCTGGCTAGTCTGAAGGAGCCGAGTAGGGGGAGACAATGGGGTGCTTTTTTCCCCCAGCTTTAATTAATTAGCAGTAATGATGCTGTGTTTGTCTTGAGAAAGAATCAAACACATTATTCATTTTTAAATCTGTGTTTGAATCAAATATTTACATGCAACTTCTGACGTCTATATTTAACTCCGGACATAACCTCTGAGCTATTCTTAGCTTCCAAGTGTAAGCGCAGAGCAGCATACGTCCCAGTGGTATAGTCTCTGGAAGGTGTCGATAATAAAACGCCACGGCTGCAGGGTCATGACTCCGTGTGGTTATTAATAACTCCTCTTATAATCACCGCGGTAGGTTGGCCGGCACGCGTGCAAGCACATGTAAATTCACTGCAGTTAACACACCTTCCCCCATCTGTATACATTCAGATGAGGCAGAGGACCAGCTGGTGATATAAATAAGTGAATAATAAAAATCTCATCTGTTACCCCTCCACTACATTTCTAGTCTATGTATTTTACTCTGAATCCTTTGTTCTTTTTATCCCCTACATTTTTTTTCCCAAAACTTGGATTCACGTCTTTAATTCAGGAATCTCTCTTTCCTCACCTCTGATTCTTTGTAGTGGCGCTCAGGGATCTCATCGTAGGCAATGTCCACAAAACACACTTCTGTTTCCTCCTCTCTGGGCTCACTTCCAAAGATCTGAGAAACAGCAAAACACACACCTTTGTTGTTAGCAGTTGCAGCAAAGCATCAGCCGTGTTGTGTCATGTGACTGATTTTTTCTCAGACAAGATTCTAAATAAGACATGAGTTGAGCCTTATGTTCAGTGACCTCCTCTTAGTAATTAACACAAGAACGATTAGCTTGTCTTATCTGAGCAGGTTCATGCTCTAGTGTCACTAAGCTGGGAATAAACTCCCATTAGTCTCATATATTGGTGCTACAAAAGGGGAGGAAAAAAATCTGAAAGATGAATGGATAGATTACTGAAAACGATGATGGTGACTGGAAGAGAAAGAAAAGAAGCAAGAGGACAAACGGTGGAGGCAGTGAGGCATTAAGTCAGGAGCGTAAGGAGAAAGCCCCTCCACTGAACAAGTCTACTGCCCCATTTGCTCTAGTCAGCTTCAAATGTGAAATAATGAGCATCTGTGGCACCAGCAGAATCTGGGTGCACTTCTCGTCACCTGCCACCGAGTGGAGCTGCAGACTTTTGCTTCTTCCTTAAGCGTTGATTGAGGCAATATTGCATAACTCGGACTTGTTCCTTCTGCCAATCAAAGCATCAAGTGGCTCTGAAGGACAGGCACAAACAAAGAAGAATGTGATGAAAAGCTTTACGAACTGAAATGCGAGGACACGGTTTCATGTTGTAGAAGACATGAAGCATGTCTTCCTTAAAGAAGTTCTTCAAAACCATTGTCCATGTACTATTGATTTGGCATTAAAATGTTTAAAATCTCTATTTTTAACATACTTTAAAAAAAAAGCCACTATATTTGGACATATAAATGGATATTTATTTTTAATAAACACAATATAGAAAATAATTTAAGAAATGTAACCATCAAGATAAAAAACAAGAATAAATTCAGACACTCTTCGGGTGCACTTGAGTATTATCATTGCTGCTCAACATTTTGAGTTTAAACATCTGCTTAAACCTCAAACATTTATCTTTGTGGACTCCTGACAGTTGATGTGAAAATGACCACAATGACATCTATTGAGCTTCTTCATTTTGAAGCCTTCAGAGGGAAGATGGCAGCTTTTGACGTCTCAAAAGAATTTAAAATCAGATTCAGGCGTTCGACTGTATGGGAAATAACCAACAAGTGGAATATATTAATAACAACTGACGACAGTGTAGATCTGGGCGTTCAAGAAAATTCACTCTAGAAGCAGACTCTAAGATGCTGAATGAAATCTCCAAAAACCCTACAATGTCATCATGGGACCTATCAAATTCCCGCCACAATTGATATTAAAGTAGATCTCTCTGCAGTTATAAACAGATAAGATATTTTTACTTTGATGAGAGGGAACCAAGGAGGAATTTTTTTTTTAGGTTCTAATTAAACCAGAAAGGTTCAGGATGAAGTTTTGAAGAGATAATGTAGACAAATAATCGGAATTTTGGATTAATGTTTTACAGATAAATGAGTGGAGAATTTAAACATTTACTTGCCTTATCAACAAAATGCATATTTATTGATTGTTTCGTTTAATGAACTGAAGAAAGTTAAGGCTTGTTGTTTACATGCAACAAATCCCTTTCTCTTTCTTAGGTATATAATGATAAACTGGATTAAGTAATTCTGACATAATTCAACTTTACATCGGGAGAGCTTTCTCTGTTTAACGAGCTTGCTCCTCCAGTTACTGAATGTTTTTTTTTTTTCTGTATGATTAACACTCATATTAAATGTTTTCTGCAACTATAAACACGTACGGTTTCAATCCTGGGATTTGGTACAAAAACATATAATTTCTAGTAGCTTCAGTTTTTAGGTTCGAATTGCAAACCTGCAAAAAACATTTTTGCAGTAAAATCTCAAGGGTTTCAATGTTTTCCAGCAGAATTAGGATTGTGGGATTTAAAAGAATTTTCAGTCTTTCAACAACATCACTCGTTAAGTTTGTATAAAACATTGATGTGTGGCAATTCAATTGAAAAGTACTGAACATATTCTGCTATCTGAAAATCCTGCTGGAATATGAATGGAGCAGACCAAGTCTCCTTTCACTTTATATCTCACAGTCACAATGATTCAATAATCCTCAGACAAAAGCAATTCACTTAATTCGACGGCGAGGTCTTGAAGCATGAAGGTGGTGAAGATGGAGTCTGATAAAACAATGAAGCAATAAAACAGAGGAATAGAAACTGCGCCAATCAAAACCCAGTTGAAAAATCGAGATGCGCGCACAGTTCTTCGCGAAGCGCTTGAGATATTGAGCTGTACTTACATTGTCATTGTTTCCTTTGTTATCCTCATATTTGCTCTCTATGTGGATGGAAAACTTGGGCAGGAAGGAGCACTGGAGGGAGCAGATAAAAAAAAAAGTCTGAGATGGTAAGACATTGTTTTGCACCTTGATGTCTTTTATCAGACAATAAGTAATTAATTTTTTCGGACATAATCACAGTGTCCTGGGACTTTTGATATCTGTGTCTGAGACTTTCCTCTACTAAAGATTCCCAAACATTAATTGGACATTTAAATTTGAATGCCAGACAAATTATCCTCTAACCACAACAAATGTAAAAATGTGGAGTTTGTTGAACTCCACGGCAAATTTAGCTGTGATGATGTGCAGACTAAGTTATAATTTTTCAGCAGTAACCACTACAGAAATAGGTTTAAAGTTTTCATAATATAACCTGACAGTCATTTCCATTGACTGTGCCCAGTTGTGTGTTTAATATGACATAGTAATTGTGTAATTTAAGAAATTATTATCAATGTGAGAAGAAGAATAAATTGTAAATATAGATAATGGAACAAAAAAGTGAATAAAAAAAGTATGGCATATAGCATGTGCTAAAGCACATGTTTTGGTACGCTCTCTTTCAACTTACATGTCAGATGTTAGATCAAAGTGCCTTGGATCATAATGTGTGTGTGTGTGTACACTGTGCAGAAAGTGAAAATACTCACTGTGTACTCTGACCAGAGGCCATCAGTGTAATGGACAGGAATAAGAGGTGAGAAGAAAGAAAGAGATGGGTGAAAGAGAACAAAGAAATGAAACCGCATGTGCCATTAGGCCTCAGGAACAACATTTTAGTCTCAGTAAAAGCATGCATGGCATGGTATGAAGAGCTCTTATGTAGCTAACACCTCCACTGCTACAGTTTCTAGCATAGTTTTCCTTATTTTGTAAGTGTAACACAGACTGTCATGTACAGTTTCTGCATTAAATTATATTTTATACTGAAAAGTTATTTTCAGCTTCTCCTCTTCTTGCCAATGCCAATCAAACCTCAACCCCAGTAGGCATCCAACAAAGTTCTGTACTTGGGCCAATCAAAACATCAATTTCTATGTATTTGTTACAACAAATACATAGAAATGTACAGATTATGCCATTATCAGGCTCAACAGTAGAAAAACCTGTTGAAGATGTTCACAAAAAATCTTTGTTGTCTCAAGAACTGGCGTGTCATCATCAGGGTTTGCTGGCCAAAGGCAAAAATATTTCATTTTAACATCATAAAAAGGTTCAAATGAATGCAAATTAGCTGAAGACTATAATTCCATATCCATTATCATGTAAATATTCATGCATGTGTGCTTCCCATTTTATATTAAAATGCAGGAAAGAGCCTTAAAAAAACTCAGGTTATGATTTTTAATGCATTTAAAAGATGGGATTTAAATAGGTAAACAGTTTCTGTGTCGTTTTAAACTGACCTGTGATTTCTGATTATGTAACTCTGGCACAATAAGGGTTGGAAAAATGTCCGCAGATGAAAGAGGAGGGATTTGCAGTAAAATGATTACCTGTGATGGTGTATGGGTAGTAGTTCCAGGCCTTCTCTGTGACATAGAAAATTTTAGGAACCACTGCCCTGGCCCAGCTGGGCAGCTTGCTAAAACACACAGAAAGACGAGAGTTTAGGTTGGCAAGCTGAGGAAAGAAAATTGTATCAGATTGAAATTAGTCTTCACTTCAAGTTTCTCAACTCTTTTCTTTTGGTCTATCAACCATAGCTAGCAATAAGAAACATCCTGCTGCGTGGAGCCATAATGGAGGCCATACAATGAGGCCATGATGGCCCCTGGGAAAGCTGATCACAGTGATTACACCCAGGAACCCTGCTGGGGACTTTCACTGCACTTGCACTGAGATAGATATAGAGAGAGGCATGGAGGGTTAATAAGAAGAAAAATACAGAGGGGCAGCCTTTTCTCTTCAAAAATGGATTCTATAAACAAAAAAGGGAAGACGTGACTGGCCACAGATTTGGGAAACACGACAAAATTGGTGACAAATAAAGAGGAAATGACTGAAATTTAAAACTTTGATACGGTTAGCATTACAGCAGTCATCACGATTTAACAAAGACATGAAGGAAAGCAAAAGAGCAGAAAGCTATAATCGAGTCTGAGGAGAAGCAGTTAAGCTCAGATTACATTTATCCTGAACATCAATATCCAGCTTTAATGCATCCACTTGATTAACAGGTCCAGGTTTCACTTGTTATAATATTAAAGCTGATTACTGATTACATACATCACTGATATGTAACACAGACTCTTACCAAAGTATTCATATCCCTTAAATATTTTCAGATTTCCTTGTTGCATTTTAGACAAACCAAAAGTAGTGCTTAATTGTTACATGCAAGAAAAAATCAATACATTGTTATCCTTTTTGCACATAGAAAACTGAAAAGTGTACGTCACACTTGGTTCCTTTGTTTGACTAATATTGCCTGTTCTTCTTTGCAAAATAAGCTGAGCTCAGTCACACTGGATGGAGAGCATCTGTGAACATCAGGGTTTTTTTTTAACATCTCACTAAAGACACTTTGGCTTTAGTTTCTGATTCTGAGGTTATATAGAACATGAACATGTTCTGATACAGACAACATTTTGCATGTAGGTCAAAAAGTAGCCAAAGGTTTGGTCTCATTTGACCAGAGCGTCTTCTATTCACACCCAAATCTTCTTGTGGTAAACTTTGAGTGGGGACTTGTGACTAAGAGCAGATTTGTGAAATATACAAACAACAGTCACAAATTACTACCAATAAAGTTACAAAATAAACACATTGCAGTGTTTGGTTTTCTATATGTGACAGAATTTGGGAACTCTCAAGGGGAAAAAAAATGGCTTTTACAAGTATCTGTGTGTGCTAAGCTAACCAGGGTTTTATGAGACCACAGGGACGTAAGATTGGTGGTTTCCTCCGGCTCCTCTTCTCTGTCATACAGCCAGTGTGTACTATACAAACATAGCAGGCCGGTCACATGTCCCGTGTCCTCACACTGCTTTATTTACAAGTGCCACACACGTACATTCGCATGCACAGACTGCAGCTATAACACAGTAACAGGTGGTTTGTGGGCGGAGAGAGGCCTTCTTGGTGTCCGACGGCGATTGCTCAAATTATCCATCGCTTACGCTGACCTCATCTCCCTCTGTGTCCCCACGCAGAGACGAGCAGACTTTACTGCATACTCACACACCAACATGTAGTCTTCTTCTCTTCTAGGACTGTGAACGACAGTGCGTTTGTCCCCGAGGCACACTCAGTTGTCATTTATAACCACTTCACCTGTCTTGTGGCATTGCTCCGCTCTTTCTGCCAGCGTCCTCTGGGAGTGACTGGAATCAGGTGTTTGTTTAACAGACTGTCCTCACCTTGGATGTTTTTCTTTTTTTTTTTATCAGCACTAAAATAAATTGACAAAATTTTTCAAAAATGCAGAACCCTAAGTCCAGAATAAATCTGAAAGCAAATTCCTTACATTAAGGCAAGTGTAAGCCATGAAAAGCCTTAGGCTATATCATTTCTCTTTATTTATAACTCAATAAAAAGAAATGACAATTAACCTTTAAACCCCCTTTTCACTGGTGTCATAAAACGTTCTCTCTCTTATGAATTCCCAAGGAAATTAAAACTATGGATAATATTTTATAAACATTCATTTTGCAAAGAAGCAAAAGCAAACAGAGTGAAAGAAACATGAATCATTCAAACTCCTGTTGTACAGAGAGCAAGAAAGAGGAATAAAAAAATGCCCAGAACTGCAGTTAAATGTCACAATAGACTGTGAGCCGCTTGCACCATTTAGCTCTAAAATACACCATAATCTGGTGTGAAGATGACACTTAGAGATAACACCGTTGCTGTCTGTGGATACACTAAAATATTGGCTGTAAAGAGGAATCCAGGTCTGGAGGGCTGAAAGATGAGTGATGGTTCAGGATTATGACGCCCCAAAGCAAACTTTCAAAATCACATTGAAGTTTCTTTAGAGAAAATAAAACACAACATGCACTGATGTAGATTTAATGAAAGCTCTTGAATCCTTGTGTTGTGTTAAAGCAACACAATATATTAATCTGAAAAAAAAAAAGTCCTGTTAATTACAAAACATCTCTACTGGTATACAGCGACTTTTTTTTCCCTTTGCAAAATAGTTGAATCTCAGTCAGATTAGAGCCTAACATTTAGCACAAACATTTTCAAATACCTCTGATTCTCATTTAGTTGAGTCTGGACTTTGACTGATCAATTCTAACAAATAAAGAGGCTCTGATCTAACCTGGATGTGTGTTTCAGGTCATTTTCCTGCTGGAAGATAATTCTCCACCTCATCCTTAACCCTTTTGCAGCCTCTAACCAGCTGAAGAAAATAATCACCTCAGCATGATGCTGCCAAAACCATGCTTTAGTGGAGATGAACGGTTGATCTTTAAACATCCCTGTTTCTTTCTCCATGACCTATTTGCTTTGTTCCTTGGTCTTACTGAGGTTGTGTTTGGTTAGGTTCAGTTATGTTGTCTAACAAATCTCTAAGACATTCACAGGATAGCTGGATTCACACTGAAGCAATGCCAAGTTTATAATTTCAAGCTTGCTGTAAATAAATTAAATGTGTAAGGGCTATACATGTGAAAGATTATGCTATTAAAATCAGCATATCCACTGCAAATAAAATACATAAAAATACCATTTAATACCTTCGATGCAACAGCTTTGTCTTTAGGCCCCTCAGAGTATTTATTATAAGTACGTTCAATGCCCATGCAGTGGTTAAAAATGCGCTCTGAGAGAGAGCGGAAACAACTTGGTGGCTAAAATTACTTTGACCTCATTGTGCAATTTACAGTATGTTGATTGTCAGCGTTCTCAGCAGGATTAAACTGCCACCCATGTCCTGCCTCGGTTCACTGCTTAACATCTAAATCATCCCCGCTACAAAGCAGCATAGCTGAGCCTGAGTTGCTACTTCATGATGGAAATCAGTCGTTTCAAATTACATTACCATGACTGATAGATTTAGGGTTTAGTGTTGGGATTTAGTACCTTCTCTGAATGGGCAGCAGTAAGGTTGCACTAACAGAATAGTGGCTGACTTATTAAAATACAGAAAAGTACAGAGCCTGTTGTATTGGAAAAACGTCTTTGATAAACTCAAGCCCGTTTTATCTGTTTGAGTTTTCCCTCAGCTCATCTATTTACCTCCGTATCTTTAACTTTATAGCTTGGAAAAATGAAATCAGAGAGTTTGCTTTCAGCGAGATTCTTCCCATCAGTCTTCGCGATAAAAATCTAAATCTATCTATCTATCTATCTATCTATCTATCTATCTATCTATC